TTGCACAAACTTGTGCTGTCCGGGAAGTCAAAGTCCAGGTCGAATACCTACTGGCTATGGATACGCTTCGCACCGCCCTGCGAACCGAAGATCCTGGAATCCTGGTGGGTATACATTCCGCTTTTTTTTTGTGTTTTCATTTTGTGTTGTGTTTTTTTTTCTTTCGCAGACTCAGTTCTTCGAGGAGAATCTAACCCCCTCTCAATCTGGGTCTCGGGCGCTGCACTCATGACCTTAGTATTCCATCTGTTCAGCGGACAACCGGTTCCCGCAGGCTTTCACACGCTCTTCTTCTATGGGGAGCCATCCCTGGGCTCAGATGAAATCATGGAGAACTGGGGAAACTCTAATGTATCCGGGTCCTAGGGTCTACATGCAACTCGCGACCACCTCCCTTCTCCATCATTGGTTGGAATTTGTGGAGTTGGTTGTTTGGCGTAGACATCATTGAGGTTACAGTATGTGGGTTTTGTAAATTGTGGCTTTCAAGCTCTAATGAGGGTTTCTTTAGGGAAGCAAGATTGCACAATAACATTGAAAAGATTGGAATCTTGTTATTTCTTGCGTTACCACTAAAAATATTAGCAGTATTACATAGCAATGCACTTTAAAAATTTTAGAACAAGGGGCTGATTGGATACTTACAAAGTATCAAACCTGTAACGACTAGAGCTCTGCTGTCTGCTAAAGCAGCAATCGAATGCACTGCTTTTTCTACACGTACTGCTCCATGAAGTGCTTTTATGATTGGTGTTACATTGGATAGGGGCACACTGGGGTGCTTTAGCAATTGTTTTAATGGAATACTTTATTCTGGTAGGAGCCTTTGGTCAAATGCTCTTGGTGTCACATGAGACCCAGTACTGTTCATGTATTGTTCCCTTCCTAAAAGTATTCACATACCTTGAACTGTTGATCACCAGCGCATCTAACGCTGCAAACTGGCTGATCCTAATCTTGTAGAGCTGTGTAAAAGCGAAGACGCTTTGACTAAAATTAAATATTGCTTAGACTGCCAGAGGCATCCTATACACTCTCCATTTTTAGAGTTTATACAATACATTACAATGCATGTATTTTCTATGTGTTAAATGTTTTTATAGTGCCTGTGAATTAATCCAAACTTTCCAGACCTTAACTTCAGAATCCATGAATTGAATCATCTGGTTCAGTCCACATGCTTGGAAAGGAGGATGTTCTGAGGTTTCCAGAAGAAAAAATGTAAAATAAAAAGAAATAATGTAATTGTTGCAACAAATGAATTTGTGAATGTGGACACAGACCCTGAAAATAAGTCTGGCCTTCCAGCAAGAAGTCTTTTTCACTGTCAACTTCAGAAATGTGATGAAAAATGTAACAATATTCCTTTGAGATGTATTTTGCTGCATGAAAGGTCATAGTATTTATATAAATAATAAATCATGCGTGACATTAGCTATTCATTACTTATATAAAGACCTAAGCAGGTATAATTGTTGTCAAATGAGGATTTAAGTTGCCTATCCTCGACAGTGTTATATAATTCTATCATATTTTTATAGTTATATATTACTTGATAAGTAATGTACCACTTTACTGATTACTCACTGTGTCACTGGTGTGTTTTGCCTTTCTTGATTTAAAACTCTAAAACTCTCCTATCTTAACCAAACACTCAAATTCAAACTAACTTCCACTAGTGTCTAGCCATGGAGATAGTTTTGGTTTTAATTGCACAGGTTTTGAGATGTCAACCTCTGTGATTTCTACATTGGAGGATAAAGGAAATTAATTTGTGCTGCTTAAAACATTCAACAGAAATATTTCTTTAAGTGAGAAAACATGTTAAGTAAGTGCTGAAGGTTAAGTGTAAATGTAAGTGAGGGTAAGTGGGAAAATATTATGTAATTTGGCTAAACTGACCTTTTTAAAACAGGCTTACTCAATTGTCGCTTGTCTTTGAATAAGAAAACCAAATCTGGGGAAATTGGACAGTATTAAAATCCAATATTTCCAGAAAGTATAATTTTCTTATCTAAACTAGTATATGTGTGAGCCTACCTCAGTTTTAGATTTGGAAAAAATTATGCAAACATTTCTTAGACCCAGAGTTGCTCAGGGGGTAAAAATAATTATTATTGGATTTCAGGTCAAAAATGGAGTATAAACCAGCTTTGCTAACCAGCGCAGAATCATTTATGGGCCTTAGTCCAATAAAATTCATTTTTTCATCGAGCAGCTCCGCCTCTCAGAGATGTTTAACTTCAAGGTGTCAATTGAGAAGGTGTTTGTATTAACAATGAAGCAGGAGTGGGTGATGATTTAGATGTTGGATAATTCTGTCTGATCATTTGGGCAGTGTAATGATACACACTGTAGCTAAACTGTAATAGAGAATTATAATATTATGATTCAATAATTTATATAATGAAACTCATTCATTTATCTTCTAGAGAGCTGCTCACCCAGCTGATCTTGCACATCATTTTCATTATATTATCACTAATATCAGTCAGTCAGAATCTCACTCAATTACCAAAGAAATCACTTAACTGATGATGGTTGTGTGGATGGATAATGTGTCTTGCTTTAACTAGACCACTTCAGTGTTATTCAAATGAAAATGAAGTGTAAATGTTGAATTGTGCTTGACTGAAATGGCATGTGATTGTACATAAATAAAACATTTGGTTTAAAAAAGAAAAGTTTTTTTTTTCTTTAACACACACACAAGCTTGACGACTATGATCACAATCTTTTTACTTACAATTTAAACATGTGATTATGTGCCATACATTTTCAGGTCTTCTTTAAGAGCTGCAATCATATACAAAGTTGTAAAACAAAAACATCACTATCAGACAAATACTGATGTAGCTGAAAGAGTGTAGCTAGAATGAGTGAAGTCAAATCAAACTACATTTTGAAATTTGGCAGGTCAGTGTTTACTTGCTTACATGTATACAAAGTGACTTTATACTTTCTTCACATTGTTCAGGTGAGCCAGAAAACATATAACTGTCAAAATCCAACATATAGTATGATGTTTTATTTTCTTTTTACAGTAAATACTCTCCAATGCAGAGACAGAAAGAGAGAGCAGCACATTGAAACTAAGAACAGGGATACTGAAGATACTGATCCAGTATATTTACAATCTGTCTTTGAAACAAACCAAAACAGTTTCCTCTGAACTTGTGGCAAAAAAAAGAGTGAAGCAAGTGGATATGTGACACAATGTTATTTGAACTGTTAATAGTGCATGATCATGAAGATTTTTTTAAGGCAAAATATCTGCAGGGAACTCCAACAAAATGGTTTACATGCACACAAGCCAGCTTTATTTTATTTATTTATTGTGGGAAGTTATGGGCTTGGATCCTGTTTGACAGTAACGACCATGTGGGAAAATGTGATTTGCCGCTGGAACCTTGTTGTTCCCTGATGATTCCATTTTCTTGACAATTTTGATTAATGTCCTAAAAACAGATCAGTCACTTACTTGGAGTACTAACAATATTTAACTTGCAATTTCTTTTTTGAAGTTCTATTTGCACTAGGGCCCTTTGGTTATTTTGAAAAAGGTAAACCAGTGCGATATAAATGTAGGGACAAACATTTTATAATTTATAAAACATCCACGTAAATCTTTAACTTGTATAGGGTATTGGTAATGGAGAAGCCGGCTAATACGTTCTGACTCTGGGATGACCCAAAAGTGTTTCCTTGTTCCTGTTTTTCCTGGTGGGACTTCATCAGAGGAAAAGGGTTTTGCTTATCAAATTTCCTTTATTCCTAGTTGACTAGCTCATTGTCTACTGTTTTGCAGTTTCCTGTCCCAGTGCTTACATTAAAAATGGTGTATATGTATAGGGATAGATACACCCTAAAGATTCATTTCAATCTTTGATTTCAATGCGAATGTATTTAAAAGCTACACTGCAATTTTATGTGTTTTGTGTTTATTGTAAAGATTTAAGATCAAGAGTGATGACCTGCTCATGGGGAAATTAACTAACCAAGTAATTGCAGTCCCTGTCACATTTTAACCTGTTAAAACCCACCTATTCAATTCCATTATATACAGGTGTGGTTGGGTTAGGAGCAGGGTTATCTGGATCTTAAGAGGTTAAATGGATTGTTAAAAATGAATTAGGACTGGGAAGGCATCATTTATAACATTTGCACATTATTTTTTTCCCAGAGAATAGAGGCCTCTCTCTCTCTTTCTCATTTATATAGCAAATATCTAAATTCTACCATTCTTGACGTCTCCAATAGCTCCCCATACATCAAACAAAAACACATCAGGGAAAGCAAAATCTCCCAGAACTGAGTCCAAGGCTTCTGCAAAGTCGTCTGGGTTCTTCTTGTCTTTGCCTGCTTCCACTATGGTGGTTGCTGCAGAAAAGAAGTGATGGGACAGATTTGAACCAATCCAGGGTTAACTGTTAATAACTACTGCCAAAGTTTTCTTTCTCAGCAGCCAAAGCCAAAACAACAGGCACTATACATTAATTTAGAGGACCTACTCTAGACTTTTGCCTCATAAAATTGGGCATTTACATGACAAAACGAGACAAAAACCTAGTTTACTGTTATTCAGAAATATCTCCTTTTAAGGTTTTAATTGTAAAGGGTAGCCTTTCCACAAGATACCAACGAAAATTTAAAAACATACAGAAGCAAGTAAATATGTGATACAGTGTTTTTTTAACATTGTTTATTTTAATTTTTCTTAAGAAACACCCGCGCTGAAATTCTGTTTAATTTGACAGAAGCATTCGATGACAAATTTCCCTTGAATGGGTCTGGGGATTTGGATTTAACCACGCTGATGTCAAGTTAGACAGCCATGAATATACTTTGGTGGACAGCAAAATATGTGGGATACACTGAGACAAGCAAACACATTCTTAGCAAATAAATTACAAGCAAACAGCAAAGGTAAGAGCAGATTAAGAAATCATTAACCTATTTTAAATAAGGTCTGAACAGCCAAATGACCATTTGGAAACCAGGCCATTGCCCTTGGAAGTCTGGGAAAGGGCAAATTCATATCACTGACAATGTTAAGTACGTGTCCTACTCAAATTCCTGATCTATCCAAGGACCTTCAGCATAAGCTTTTTAATTTTTCAGTTGTTGATATATTCAGTAGGAATGAATGCCAATAGACCACAAATGTTTCCAATTACTTTGTATTTCTGCTTACAATATTGTTGAAGACCATGAGGTTGTAGTAAATTTGCCATGAGTTATATTTGTCTGTCAAATTCATTATTGCAGACATATTCTCTTGGGGTTTTCTCAAAATGCAGCAACTCTCCAGCGGAAGTGAAATCAGAGGTCAAAAATGTTGAGAGAAAATAGGTACACACAAAAAACTAAACTACAGTACATTAAAAAACACTCCCAACAGCCCCTGGAGGCACATATCATTAACATTGATGATTTGTGGTGAGTATACAATCTGAGAAGGAATTTATTTTCCCATACTCCATCCCAGGGTTAAAGTTGGGTGCCTATCTCAGCATGCAACACCAAGGATAGTTTGCTAGTCTATTACAGCCCACAGCAAACACTGACTCCTAGGTTTGTGTGTGGACATCCATTCAGCAATGGCTCGCTTCCTTACCTCCAAACGTGGCTGTAAGGTTGATGTCTATTTTAAGGACAGGAGTGTTATGTGGGTGGTCTTACCCAGCTCCAGATCTCTGATGCCCATGTAGCTCTCCAGCAGGTCATCCACTTTCTTTGTGGCCTGTTCTTCAAACTCATTCTGCTGGCAGAGCACAAAGGAAAATACAGAGGTGTTAGTGGAAATTTTGTGGTGGTCATGCTCTAAATATGGTGATATAAACTCTGTGAGAGCATATCTTCTCACACCGAGGGCTATTGTTTATCACTTATCTTTATGTTATATAAATATATCAAAGTGTATAGGTGATCAAATTGAGCATTGCTGGTAGGCCTTAACTGTTAACTGCTTGCAGTGAATCTTTTCATCCTCCAAACTTTCTACAAGGGATATGGTCTGAGATATAGTTCAATGTCATGTGAAACATCCTGCATTGAAGTATAGGAAGTAAGAATAACTTTGTTTGCAGAGGTTGCTTCCAACTAAGCTGAGAGACATTGTTCAATAAGGAATAACGGATATTGTGTGACTGTGCGTCTGCTTACTAGTTTAAATGTGACCGGAGTCAGATGGGGGTGTTCAGTTCAGTTCAGTTCAGTTCAGTTCATTTCATTTCATTTGATTTCTTTAGTGTCCCATGTGGGAATGTAGGCTTTTTGCATAAGTCAGCACATCAAAAAAACTGAAATAATTTCTTAACACAAGATAAAAACAATCTAATCAACTGTAAACAAAATCTCAATTAACTCTGTGGTGTTTTTGTGTGTCCGTGCATATATGTGTTTATATGTCGCAATCTACAGTTCCTGAGTCCATCAGGAAATGAAACAGTCATTGTCCAGCAGAGCGTGTGAAACTCACCACTTCCTGAACTGTTGCAGCACCCTTGGAGCGAAGACGCAGAGTCTCCTTCCCATTCACCATCTTTCCCTCATTAGATTTTGGCGCTCTGGTCCTCATTCCAATCATGTCTGTCCACACGAACACAAACAGGATAATGACAATTCATCAAATTAAAGAGACAAGAGGTTTTTTTTATTTATTTGGTTGTGATATGCTGTTTTTACACAGTGCTGTTCATTCCAGTGGTCACCTGCCCTTTGGCTCTCATTGCTGACTACCATGGTTTTATTCAATCATTTCCCAAGAAACTGCAGTGTTACCAGAAACCAAGACTATAGCCAAATGGTTACAGCTCATACAGCATGGCCACCGCAAACTCGCCGTTTAGATTCCAGCCAGCAACCTTTGTTGCAAGTCTTACCCGTCTCTCTTCACTCTTTCCTGTCTGCCTCTGCTGTCCAATAAAGGCAAAAAATGCCAAATAATAATATATTGGCTAAAGTTAAACAAACACTTTTTTTTTATAAATAAACATAAAAAAAGACCCAAGCAACCCCAATTTACATTCCCTTGTTCTGATGTGTACTTCTTTTTTTAACAAATTATTCAACTATTTATAAGTGTACAGACTCAGTCTAGCTATGAACACCCCACTACTGCTGTTAGTTTTAAAACATAAAATAATATTATATCATTTTATATCATTAAGGAGTATGTTGCCTGTGAAGATGTTGGGATGTTGTGTTATGGCATCCAAATTTCCAGTGAAGGATGAGTTCTGTAATAGAGTGAATGTGACTCATGGATTTCCAATAACTTAGTTTGTGTTAACAGTAAAGTTGCTGACTGTGAATCAGCTGCTGCTTATCATGCCCGTGTATCATGCCCATGTAAATGCACATTTGTATTCAGTATTATACGTCATAGATTCCAAAGGGGAGTAAAACTCTTTCCTGTGGGATGTCAGAGGTCAGCATCAGCAATGTCATTAATATACTTACATATAATAATGCTTGTGACTGCTGTTTTTCCTTCTGCAAGTTATTTCATGTGAACTGACATGATATATATATAATCTTTAATCAGATCATTTCAATATGTGTAGAAACGTGACATTAGACCTAATGCTTACACATACTGCTCATTGGAGTTTGTATGAGCCACTTGTACACCTGTATTTATAATTGTGACTTACGGTAGTTGCTGACTGAATTGCTGCACCCTCAGTTACAAACGCTGTTTTTCAACATGTGCATATGCAGACTGTACAATTGCAACTGCATATCAATTGTTAAAGTGAATGACAATAAGGTTGTGTCTTGAATTGTGAATCCAAATTACTCTCACTCTGTGCACCATACTATTCTCTTTGGTTGACATTTAGGGCCATAATGAAGTCCCCGCTCTATTACATTCAGGATTGTAATTAGTGTAATAAATCATTTTACATGTGAAATCTAATCCAGATTTGGCAGCCAGACACAATTTCAATAATTCAAAGATTTAATTTAAATCCAAGAAAATTGGCAGGTTTATATAGCGAAATAAGGGGATATCTTTCTGCTTTACTGCTACTCATGTTTAACTGTATACAAAGCTACTGCATTTACCCCAAATGATGTCACTTCCAAAACCAGGTTGTGATTTGATAATGCACTTTTTTTAGCTAGACTAGATTTTAGTTGAACTTGACTAAATATATGGTTGAATTTGAACATCTACAGTTCTGTGACAACTGAGCAAACACAGTCTGCTGATATAAAGTGAAAGGAGTGTGTAAGTGGACCTTAAGATGTTGCTGTTTCTCAGTACAATAAGATGATACTGATTGTTAACAGGAGGTCAGCCAGTAGACCATGGATATAGCTTCCTGTCTGATAGGTGAGGTTGTAGAGGGCTGGGCTCCAATCTGCTTTATCTATTTAGAAAAGGAAACTTCCTTATTTCCTCTCCATGTTCTAAACAAGATGCAATAAATAACCACGTATTGTACTCTTAATAGGTGAAACATTCATTGGAAGGTAAAAGAGAGGAGGACATCATGGTGAAAGAGACTATCCTGAAAAAACGCTAGGTGCATGAAAGGTTTCTGTTTGGAAGAGCACATGATTATCAACAAAAGATTTGAGACTCATAACTAATATTTTCTCTAAACACATGTAAATACAAACGTCCAAGGAAGAAGCCTTGATTTTGAGCAGGTCACTGTAACCCAATGAATTTGTTCAACGATTTTTATTCCTGGCAGATAAATGGCTGAAATGTAAATAAAAGTGCCTTCCAGGTTCTCTAGCAACAGGGAATGTACAACAAGTACATTTGGATCAAATATTTAGAGTTTCTTTTGGCTCTGACTGCTGTGTGACTGCAAAGCTTATGAAAAATGTACGTACCATGCGCTCTCTTGCTCTCTTTCTCTGTTAGTGTTTTAATCACATTGGACTAAACAGTGTTCACACTGTCACATTGTGGGGACTTCTTTCCCATGTACGCATTAAAGTTCAGTCCACATAAGGCTGACTGTTTATTTTTGGGATTTGGTTTTGCTGTTAAAGGTTAAATGTTGGGGTTAGGAATGTAGCAGTTGTGGGTGAGGTTAGGGGTAAGCCTCCACGGGGAACGAATGGACTCACAAGTACAGTAGTAGTTTAAGTGTGTGTGTGTGTGTGTGTGTGTGTGTGTGTGTATTCTTGCTTGCGGAGGGTGCTTCCAGGTTGTCTCTGTATTCCTTTAAAAGGTTTGCTTCATTCATCCTGCATGTCTTATGGCTAGAGTTGAATCATAAACTAAAAACAAACCTTAAAATATTGAAATGTATGGCTGTGTCCACTTTTTTGAAGAGCCTTGGTTTCTCCTGTGGATGCAATGGGATTAAAAATCCCTCAAAGCCTTTTTAATTGGTTCTGTACATGACTGAGAATGAAAACATATCAAGTAGCAATAGTAACTCATTTTAAAGAGTCAATTTCCAAAGTGCTGCATATTGATTTTGTTTAGACAAAACCCATTACAAGAGTAATTTCTCTGTATCGCAGAGTCAATCTATAAACAAGAACTGAATTAACTTGCAACTATTTATTTTGTTTCTGTGTAGCAAACACTTTTTCGAAGTATAGATATCTTGTTTGATAGTTTATTTATTATTAAAATAAAAACTTTACAAAGCCAAAGAGTGTACAAGATCCTTCAGGCTGAGGCTCTGCCATGATAATGGGCTGAGTTTAACAACTTTTCCAGGCTCATTGGCGAATAGCCCAAAAAGAATTCCCTGTGTCCTCTTCCTGTTTTTCTGATG